TACAATCTCCCCGGAAACCATGTGAGGGACGGTTTGGTTCCAACCGGCGCTAACGGCTAACGGCTGCTGTTGCTGTGCATGCTCTGCTGCTCGACATGCTGTTACCTCTCCAACATTAACGTTTATAAATCACTTTAAAAGCACACCAGTGTCAATACAGCCTTCAGAAAAAGTCATACTTACTCGTTTATAAGGACAACACAAGTTGAAACATGATAGTGTATAATGTTCCACCACAATAGCAACATTAGCCTCTTTACAAAATCTGGTTAATTATGCTAGGCTAGGCTACAAGTCACGTTGCTTTAAGTTAATCAGGCGTAATTCGATTTATTTTCAGCTTCTTTTTTTGCTGAAATGACACTGCTATGTTATCATAGTTTATAATGTTAAAGACAGACGTACATTGTTCAACCTTGACATGTTCAGTTTGCCTGTTTCACATCACCATCCATTGCAGTCTTAACAGTGTTGCCAAGCAACTGTAACTAATGCTTACTATCACACAATGCCGCCTCACAAAATAATGGAGGAAACTAAGCAGTTATTTAACAACACAAACAACAGTTCAGCTTGAAGTTTGAAGGCTAATTAGTCAGGCAGAGAAACATGAATACAAAAAAACACATGCAGCAACAACAAGCAATGTTTCCATAAGCATGTTTGTCCAACACATGATGTTCATTAAATTATCTTTGATTTAATATATTTAAATAGGCCTACATGATTTATAAGGTAAATGAAAACTATTATCTTGTAATTCCTCTAGTTTAACATAGATACTGCTTCTCTTCTACGCTAGGCTAGTTAGCTTTTAGTCAGTGTTTGTTTTTTACTCATTTGTAATCTGATAATACTCCCCTTCCTCTTGTAGGCCTATGCAGTAAAATAAATAAAATTGCTAATATGTTAGAGGAGCTAATTTTAAGTTAAAAAACATATAGCCTCTATAGTTAAATAACCTTTCATCAGCTAGCATAAACCAGCTAGCATTACCTAGCTAGCTCTTGTGCTTTGTTTTTTTTACCTTTCTTTTCTTTTCTTTAATCTGTTTTGTAAATGGTCAAAAACTATTGAAATCCTGTTGCCCATATAATTTGATCATAATGAAAATGTCTAAAACTATGTAATCTTCAATTTTGCTCATGCATTTTATTTATTTCCCCTCTCGTGCTTGGTCTTTTATTGTTTAATTTTGTTTTACTTTTAACTGCCTCTATTTTGGTCCTGACCTTGCTTTGAGCATGTCATTGGTATGATATATTTTCCAATCTTTTGTTAATTTATTTATAAAGAAGGATACTATGTCCCTATGACATGTTATAAATTAGATGTGTGGTTTTTATTGTGACTTTGAAGTGTTTGCGCTGTCATTAATGTTTTCCCTGCTGATGAATCAGAGTTGGTAAACATTAATCAGATGATGGCATAAATAAATATTTGCAGAGCTGAAGTGTGAAAAGTTTGTGGAATGTAACAAGTTGCGAGCTAAGAGGACTTTGAGCAATTGTGCAGTTACCCTTTAATCCTAGAGTTGCCTCCTTCAAGTTGCACAATATTCTCTGTTCAAATCTGGTTGAAGCTGACCTGTTTTTTCTTTTCAGTAACTTTATTCAAATCTTTCCAAAGTGAAAATTGTTTTAGGTAGTATCGAAACACAGTTTATCAGAAGTAAAAACTCTCTTTAAATATTCGGTACCATGAAGTATAGGCCTACCCGAAATGTAGCAGAATTGATTAAAAATAAAAACAGGTAAATTAAATAAACCATGATAGTATGTGTAGCACATGCACACATATTAAATCTACATTACTTGTGCCAAAATATGATAAAGCTGAAACATACAACTGTGCATTTAAGTGTTGAACTTTTGCCCCCTTTACATAAAATTAACGATTGTAACATGCTGTGTGTGTATTTGTTTGTTTTGTGTTCAATAATCCTACTCTGTTGCATCCTTATTCATCTGTCATGATCGACTGAATGCAGTTGAGTAACACCCTTGAGAACACACATGGAAACACACACACACACACACAGTAAAATGAACTATGAGTGCGGCCCAATTCCAAATCACACCCTACCCACTCCCACTCCGTGACGGAGTGACACTCGCAGCTAAACGAGGCTTCCTCCTTTCAGGTTGAGGGTGTAAATACAGCGGCAAGATTAGGAACAAACTCCCCTCTCTCCGCCAGAAACAAAAGATGCCGTAACTGTAAGTAACAACGGTTTCAAATCAGCATCTCTTGGACAAAAAATAAAATTAATAACTAAAATAAAACTCCAAACATCTTTAATTGTGTTACTTTTTTGTAAAGCTCTTTTAGTTTTAAACCTGATGTTTATAAGCTTCTTAGTTTTTGCAACAGTCTGTAAATATACACAACTTTATAATAAAATGCATAGGTATGACTGAACACAGACCCTAAGTAAAAAAAAATGAGGTTATCATGAGGTTGTCAACATCGCAATGTATCAGTGAATGTTTGCAGGAACTGTTTGTAAACAGCGTGTTTCATGACGAACACACACAGCGTTGAGTCCGGTCAGGTAGGGCAGCAGGTGAAGTCAGCACCGATGCAGGCTCGCTGTTTGAGGGCTTGATAACCCACTCCCCCTCCACACTTGTCGGTTTGGAAACGTGCAAACGGAGGGGTAGTGTGTAGGGGGTGGATTGGAATTGGGCCTAAGTCATGGTTTGAAGAGCACAGTAAAAGCAGGTAAGAGGAGCGGATGTGATAGTTGACAACAGATTTGCAATAATGAACTATTCAGATCTTTTACCTTTGTACAAGTAACACTACAACAATGTAATTCTGCTTTCAAAATCACTTTTGTTCAAGCACAAAAGTATTATCAGCTGAATTAAAGCAACACAATATAAATTGCTTATTAGTGTTACATATAGTTATCACTTTTACATTTACGTGAGACATATTGTATTTTGTATATTGCAATGCTTAGGGCAGGGGTGTCCAAACTACGGCCCGGGGGCCAAATGTGGCCCGCGGACCATTTTGAATCGGCCCTCAGCAAATTAAAAAAGTATAATGACTTAAGTATAATAAACTTCTTCTTGTCTTATATTGTACTTCTTAAATATATATATAGTATGTTCAATTATATTACACTGTATTCATGTGCTAATAAGCCCAATTTTCAAATAAATTCAGTCAATTAAAGTTGAAAACAAATCATAGTTGATAAGAAAAAAGCCCAATACCAAATTTACATAACAACCTTGAATATACCATTCATATTTCGTCTTATTATAAGCAATCTGAATCATGTGTTTTAAGGAATGATCTGCCAACAGAATAAATGAAACACTCTGGAGAGCTGTGATGTAGGCTGTTTTCTTCTTAAAGCATTTACAAGTATCAAGAATAATTTACCTACATTGGATTAATTTTTCCAACTTATAAGTGACCTTATGAGGCAATATACCCCACCTTTAGGGAGTGGCCAAGCCCTTCGTATATCTTTCTGTATGTGGCCCTTGGTGAAAAAAGTTTGGATACCCCTGCTCTATAGGGCTTTATACTGAGCAAGTAACATAAATCTTTCTGTCTGTAACAAGACGATTTTCAGTATGACTTATACAATGTAAAAAAAAAGACAACATAGAATAGCGGACTATACGTTCAAATGCGCGTTCCCGTGTCAAGGGGTGCATTTCACGACGGGGGTGCGTAATTTGACACAACACCGGTACTCAGTAAGAAGTGCCGGTACCACATCAGTAAAAATCAGAAGTGGACACGCAAGTCCTGCTATTTCTTTTTGAGATCCTCTATTTCTTTGGACAAGTCTTCAGTAGCTGAATACGCAGGGCCGTCCCTGGCCAACATGAGGCCCCACGCAAAGTTATATGATGAGGCCCTCTGTTTCGCGAGCGTCAACGGGGGGGGGGGGGGGGGGGGTGCTAGGTGCTAGTGGAGCCTTGCAGCAGCGAAACCATGCCGCGCCACACTAATTGCGCCGCATAAGCGCATATTTTCGGCTCAGTTGAGGCACCCTCCGCAAGATGAGGCCCCCTCCGTAAGGTGAGGCCCCACGCAGTCTGCATGATCGGCCTGTAGGGAGGGACGGCCCTGTGAATACGACATATCCAGTGCAGATGGTTCAGGGACTGAGCAGTAGTCGTGATCAGTGAGATCACAGGGCTGTTCGTGCTCCTCAGGAGGGACTGGTTCAATGGGCCGCTCTCTTAAAGTAAAGCTGATCCACTCAAACAGCATAGGTACGGCACCTTTAACGAGCCTCCTTCGACCATCAAGTGTCGTTGGATTTATTAGCTGATCGGGGGCGAGGTGCCTGCTACAGACCTTGGAGTGAGAAGTGATGGTGAAGTTCTCCCGTCGTATATTTACAAGCCACTGTCTTCTTAGGTCGAGTTGGGTTTAGGGTGACCAGATGTCCCGCTTTGGTGCGTCCCGCAAATTGAGACGATGTCCCGCATATTTCATTTTGATTGGCCAAAACGCTTTTCTGCTGTTCTGCGCCCTTTATTATTATATGTTTTAAAAGGCATTATGTAAGTTGCGCTGACAGGCGACAGAGGTCCACAGTGTACCCCACCCCCCCGCGCTGACAGTTCACGAGCGTCGATGTCTCTCACTGACCGATGGATTCGGATTAAGAAGCTAATCTTGTTTTGGATGAAAAGTCTCTACAAATAAAAATCAATCAAGTTAAGATGGAGTAGATAAGTAGAATAAAGAAATGCTCATGTAAAGTACTTTCCATTAGATAATGTAGTGAACTATTAATGATGCACATTGCACCATGCACTTCATGTTAAACACTGATGTCTTCAATCACAAATCTGTATTTATTAGATTCATATTTCACCTGTAATCCATGAAAAGTTCACTCAGGTCATCACTAAGGTGAATGGATTTTTAAGAAAACATGATTCTGATTGGTTGAATACCAAACACATTGTTTCTGTTTTGAACACAAGTCTAATGGCTCATTCAAAGGAAACCATAAATGTTTTGACAGAAGTTTGATTTATTAACACATCTTGCACACACACACACACACACACACACACACACACACACACACACACACACACACACACACACACACACACACACACACACACACACACACACACACACACACACACACACACACACACACACACACACACACACACACACACGACCCGTCTCCTCTCCTCGGTTTTCATAAGGAGGCATATAGGAACATACTATCATTCGAAGGGAAGAGCTTCCTTGATGTTGGATGAACAAACAAGACTTTAACGTTGTGTATATAAATGAGTATGTATATATAAGTGCAATAGCCTTTACTGCCTAAGTCAAGCACCTTCAATCACCAACTTAATTTCCAAGGCAGAGAGGTTTGCATCAATAATAATCACTTTACTAAAGTACATAATTTTACCGGAACATTGGCTAGATCATGAAACAAAACAAATATCACTGTCTGCTATTCTAAAATAAAGTTTTCCCAGTTCCCCAGTTACAATACAGAAAACCCTTCGTCAACAGTATAAACATTTGCACACTACATTGTGACTTGCATTTGAAAAAAAGGGGGCTACTTTGTTTGATCAATTTACTTTTCTTTCAATCTTAAATAAAGAATCAAAGCGTTAGCTCCCCTTGCACAAGAGGATCACTTCCTTCTTGTTATAAGTGGAAAGGAAAGTTATGTACTTTATAAAAACAATTTAAAAAATGCAGTTTGTGCAAGCTATGCAGCATTTTCCCAGTGAAATCTAATCACCTACACATTCATTATTTATATTTTGCTTATTAATATTATTATATTGTAATCCTTCAGAGGATCACACCTCTTGTAGTTGTGCCTGGTTTCCACCAATGCCTATGGTTACTTAATGTGCGGATCACAACCATTTATGTTTGTGCCTGGGAAATTAAGCTTGTGTTTGCTTCTGCACCCTTTTCTGGAAAATAGAATCCGAAGTCTGTATGTACACATGATTTATAAAACATATTCTTAATTACATTGCAAATGATGAGGGTAAAGACTATTGGCATTGCATCTTACAAATTATCCTTCTTCCTGCAAGCCAGTCATAACACGTTAATATTGCTATCTCTCTAAGAAAAGACCTGGGACCTCCAGGTAAAAAGTTTTACACATACAGTATATCAATCTAAAATGTCTATTGCAGGTGTGCTTCCTCTCTGCTACATCCTCAAGAGGAACAATTTATGAGAACCAATGCTGTAGGATGGATGCCATGTTAGTTTTCTGCTATTATACAGGAGGAGCTCTTATTTACATGAGACCCAAAAGAGGTTTGATCACTCCTTTAAAAAAATCTAATGTTTGAAAAGGTGACTGTCCTCTGTGGCGACGAAGGAGAACCCATTGAAAGCGGTGTTGGAGCTGCTGCTGCCGTTCAACTCTGGGCTCCGACACACTGAGTTAGAGACCATTTCTCTTGTGAACTCTGGATCAATGTGCTGAGTGTCAGCTGGGCCTCTCTGAAAGATGAAACAATCTCTGTAACTGATAATAATTATAGTATTGGAGGTGAAGTTTCTATTTTCCATAACAGAACACATCTGGATGCACTATCACAGTTTTTTCATGGTAACTTAGCAAAGAAAAAGGAGGCTGTATTGTTGCTATGGTTGCATGCACTTTCACATACTGCACACTGGTTTATTTAGAAGCAAATATGTTCTGTTGCCATGGTAATATGAATAAAAGACTAAACCAAGAGCACACAAAGCATAAGTGAGGTCAGGAAAAATAATCTGGATGCATATGACTGATGTTTTTTATGTTGACCCAAGAAAATACATTTTTTAAGTTCACATATCCAGTGATGATTACAAACAAAATATAGCTGAATAAAAAAAAAAAAAATTCTAGGTATTTAACTTAGACAGAAATGTTGAATGGAGAGGATGTTCAAACTGTGAATACGCCTCTATTGGACCTTGAAACATTATAAGAGGTGGGAGAATTTGAGTTAAGGAGTTATATAAACCCTTACGAAGAGGTTCATCTGACTTTTAACCTGTTTATCTAAAAGAGAAATGGCTGAGATGTAGAAAAGAATTCAAGAGGAGATTTCCTTGGCTGTTGCCACTGGAAAATGTGTTGTGGGGGGAAAAGTTCAGGGGGACGTTAATGATTGTTTTAGAGAGGGTACACAGATGTTTGGACGGGCAGACAGACACACTTATTATGTAAAGACAGTAGCAGTGACAGTTAACCACTCACCACATTGGGGTTGTAAGGAGGAGTGATCCTCTTGTGGTCAAGGTCGTCCCAGTTGATCGGAGAAAAAAAGACGTGGTTCTTTATTTCTAACTATGAATACAAAAAGAAGAAAGATAAGTTATACATGCGTACATACTGTATATAGTTTTAGTGACATGTGTTATTCCTCATATTAGGAATCCACATACTCAATTGAGTTTTCTGCAATTATTAATAAGTATGAAGGTGATCTTTGTACATTTTCTCGGAGGGACTGGGTTTAGATCTGTTCTTAGAAAAGATCAAAGCCACTCCACTAAAGCAAGTAGTCCTTCGATAAACAATTTGTATAAAAGTAGGAATAATTGTTTTCTGGAAAACCATCTGTTTTAACGTGGAGTGATGTTTTTTATTAACATAATACACTCACAAAGTCGGCGATGGCCCCGAGGCGCCTGTGCTGGTCTTTCTGCAGGAGCCCCTCCAGCAGAGAGCAGACGGCCTCAGACTTCCCAGGAGGCAGCGGTAGCGCCTTGTGGAGGATCCCATCATACATTTCACCCACATCACGGCTGTAGAAAGGAGGCTGAGGGGGAGGGATGGGTACAAGTATCATTAAATGATGAAATGCAATTCAGCATTGTATATATTATATATACACATATATATATTATTACTATATATATATTATATAGTCAAACTTTCCCTAGATGTGTCCACTTGTAATGAAGCAAGTTAATGAATGGTCATTATTGATAGGACCATGACTTGGGACCATAACTTCAGCCTTTAGCCAAGAAAGCGGCTATACAATGCTTTAATTAGGCATCAGTAAGCTAACATGACTATATATTTATAGATAAAATCATATTTAGCATTTTGTCGACTTGAAATGTAATGGCAATTTATCCAACTGTTGATACATTTTAGTGTACACCTACGTGGGACTCTGAATCTGAATCTGAAGAAGTGAGTCTGCTTAATATTTATGATCCCAAGAGGATGGCTCCTAATATTCTAGAGATGCTCTGACCTTTCTTTAGTACCATCACCAGGTAAAACATTATACTTGTACTTGTAGTACTTGTACAAATTGGTAAGTAAAATGTTGTATATTATGCATGGATTGCCAACTCATTTGTACATGTCTTATTCACTGATTGTTAATATCTGTATTTGTGAATGTCATTGTTTGTGCTTGTAGAAAATGAAAAACTCAATCAAGATATTGTTTTGTTTTTTTAAACTGAAAATAACGTTGCCCTCAAGATATTCTCGCAAGATGAAGATGCTTCAAATCAGCTGCAAACCCCCCCCCCCCCCCCCCTCACCAGGCTGAAGATCATCTCATAGATCACTGCTCCCAGACACCACCAGTCCACAGTCCGGTCGTACGCCTCCTTACGAAGAATCTCTGGTGCCAGGTACTGCAGACAGACAGAGCGGGATATTCTCTGTTTACAACAGCTATCCCTTTCAATCCACATTAAATACCTAACCATGTATGACGCACAGTATTGTGTATGACAGATAATTGATCTGATGTCCTTTTCCTGTTTACATGTATATTTTTTACGCACTTCTGGAGTCCCACAGAAGGTCGAGGTTGTGCCCTCTGGCTCTACTCCTTCTTTGCACAGCCCAAAATCTGTCAGCACCACATGGCCCTGCACACAACAAACCACATCTATATTTTAGTTACACACATATAATAACAATAAAAACATGGAGGAGTTGAAGATTACAGAAGTAAATGTGTTGTTTTTAGACTCACCTGAGAGTCGAAGAGAATATTCTCCGGCTTCAGATCTCTGCAAAGACAATAAAAAGCAGATTGTAATGATAGTAAAAGAGATCTGAGTTTCACAGTAGAAACCAAAAGCCTCTAGATAACGATATGACCCAGGACAATTCAATACATGTGTGTTGATTCTGACCTGTAAACGATGTTAAGGGAATGAAGATAGCCGATGGCGCTCGCTACCTCGGCCGCATAGAATCTGGCTCTGGGCTCTGAGAAACACCTCTCTCTCTGCAGGTGGAAGAAGAGCTACAGAAAGAGAAAGAGGGGTTGATGGACAGTTATGTTTAGTGTTCATTGTTGTCTTTGTTCTGTTATAACACCTTGTGCGGAATGCTTTGGCAATACTATGTTTAAAATGTGGTCATGCCAATAAAGCCCCTTTGTATTGTATTGTATTGACAGACAGCATGGAGAGGATAGAATAAAATGACATTTAAAAAGAATAAAATACTTTAAACCAGCTGTCTGGGTAAACATGTGTGTCCACACACAGCAAAGTGTCTGTTGGCTGCTCGCCTGGTAGCTGTGATTTCATGATAAGCGTCAATAAAGGATGACCTATTAGGACATTGTTACACTGCAGCCAGCGGAACAATAAGGAAAAACACTTTCCAAAATGTTATGATGTTAAACTAGGTTTACTCCCGTTTGATCACAGTGGGGACTTCTCTGATATGAACAACCCTGTTTTGACGTGCTTTTCCATATAAACAAACATAAAGTCGAAAGAGACAAGAAGAACCATCTTTTTTCTTTATAGAATAATAAATGAATGAAGAAAAATAGATCGAACAATCACTGCTTAATAAAACATTTTAATAAAAAAAACAATAATAAAGTAATACCTGTATAACTTCTGAATCACCATTTCTGACCATGTTCGATAAAAATAATGTTTTTTTATGTACATATACTGTAGATATTTAGTTTTAGACACATACCTCTCCCCCATTCACATAGTCGAGGACAAAGTAGAGCTTCTCTGCGGTTTGGAAGGAGAAGTGGAGCCGAACCAGAAAGGGATGTTTCAGACTCTTCAGCAGCACATTTCTCTCTGCCATAATGTTCTTTTGCTAAAGAGAGGAGACATTAAATACAATCACACAACTACACCAGTAGAAAACCTATTTTTCTATACCCTGTGTAGTCAAGAGTGATTTGTAATGCCTGTGGGGCTCATTTGTTTGCAGGAAACATTTTAACTTGTCACAAAAAAGCATCTTTTCCATAAAGCTTCTTTGATGTTATTCTGCTGTGAAGCATTTTAGTAGTGCAGTACAAATAAGCTGTGAATATCATCAGATCTTGTCTGATTTGAGCGTCTAGAGTTTCAATATTTTATTTCTATATTTTATTTCTGCTTTAAAAAAACAACAATGACGAGCAATTTGATAGTTTTATTGTAAAACTTAAAATATAAATTAAAAAGATAATAATTTGATTAATAACATGATCAAGGGGAAGTCATGTTGTCCAAAAACTACATGAAAGCTTTTTGCACACTTAAAGGTGGGGTAGGTAAGTTTGAGAAACCGGCTCGAGATACACTTTTTGTTATATTCCATGGAATGCTCTTAACATCCCGATAGCAATGAATATCTTAAGTGCTTTGACAAAAAATCCATAAAAAAATGTCATCTGTGGAAGCCGTAGTACTGTAAAACGCACGACCAATCATTTTAGCCGGCCCGGCTAAAATAACTGGATGGCCTACCTGCCTGTCAGCCTTCCATCTGTGCACAAACTTATCTCGTGCCCTCATTGGTCATGTGCGCGTTCGTGTGTGTTGGAGGAGGGGCTCTGTAAGGAAGTGGCAGATTTGTTCCGGCTGTGTATTTTCAAATTCTAGCGCACTCGAGCTGGTTTCTCCAAAATGACCTACCCCACCTTTAATCTTTATATTTAATTTAAAATATTATTTTAAACTTTATTTTATTAATCAACCAGGGTTTTTGATAATTGTCTAAATGCTGTTTCAGATGATCTTCCTAGGGAGGCAAAGGTCATCATAGTCAACCGTTTTCTATAATTTAGACATCTCAGGCGTTTAAGTTTTCAGAAGGATTTAAACAGAAGTAAACACTTGAACACTTCCAATTTAGCTAAAGCAAGCTAAGGAAATGAGGACACGAGTGTGTGCTCAGATTTTCTCGTTGTGTTGTCATTTTATATTATTGGAGTTGTACAATATGTCCTTTGTACAGAACAAGCTGTAGATTAGATAAGATTCAGATCGTGTTGCTGCGTCAAAACACTGTTTACTAATAACAGTCAAACACACACACACACACACACACACACACACACACACACACACACACACACACACACACACACACACACACACACACACACACACACACACACACACACACACACACACACACACACATTTTCACCTGGGTTAATTGAGCTACTTTCCACCATCATCTACTTTCCACTGTCACTGGCAGAGAATTTCGTAAGACATACATATGTTCTAAAGATGTTTGCCCAATCACTCAAGACAAACTATACATATATATATATATATATCGTAGATTGTTCACATTTCTATCAGGCTTTATGTAAAAAGTAAGCTTTATTTCCAATTTTTTCAAATAATTTTGGCTTTTCAAGTAAAAACTGTGTGCCTCTGAAAATGAAAAATCTCCTTTATCATATTCAAGAAAGAAGTGACTAAGGCAAAATGACTAAGGCAAGGTTTAGTTTCTCTTAGTGTGGATGCTGGGTCTATAAAGGACTTTCTACAAAGAGGTTAGAAAGCAAGTGAGAATCAACCATCATTCAAAATAGAAACTTGAGTGGGAAGCAGAGCGCACCTCTTTCTTCTTGAGGATGACTTTCTTCTGCAGCACTTTGACGGCGTAGAATTTGCTGTCGGCTTTGAGCTTGGCGAGCAGGACCTGCATGAAGGTTTGTTGGTGAGAGGTTTGTTTAGTAAACAGCCTGAGCCACCATCTCATCACGACATTTCATCAAACACAACACAGATATAGTATGTGATCTGTGGAAACAGATGATACTGATAAATCTGAGAAGGGCCATGAAACAAGGTCTGACAATGACCCATGGCCAATACAAAACATTTAAATGTCATTATTCTGAAGGAAAGTAATTGAATATGTTTATTGTTTTCTTTAAATGGAACACATCTCTGGCGCTGTTCAATTTTCTAGTATTTTGTACGGTGGCCCACAGCATTTCACAAAACGCCGCAGCATTTCACAAAACACAACAGCATTTCAGAAAACACAACAGCATTTCAGAAAACACCACAGCATTTCACAAAACACAACAGCATTTCACAAAACGCCACAGCATTTCACAAAACGCCGCAGCATTTCACAAAACGCCGCAGCATTTCACAAAACGCCACAGCATTTCACAAAACACAACAGCATTTCACAAAACACAACAGCATTTCACAAAACGCCGCAGCATTTCACAAAACACAACAGCATTTCACAAAACACAACAGCATTTCAGAAAACGCCGCAGCATTTCACAAAACGCCGCAGCATTTCACAAAACACAACAGCATTTCAGAAAACACCACAGCATTTCACATTGGACGGAAAGGGTATTCCTTTAGGGAGAACACTTCTTGTTTGTGATTGGACAGAGCCAGCCAGAGAAGCACTGCTGTGATTGGTTGTTTTTGCTGCCAGTCAAGAAATGACGCTTCGTGATTGGTCAGCACCCGACAGCGCAACATGTCCCAACACATCAACCGTTAGCTGTTAGCACACACTCAGAGCTCACAGCTCCTCATATCTGTTCAGAAACTGGACAAAAGTTAAACAAGTACAAATCACAGACTGTCTATGTCATGGCGAATACAGTCGCTGCTTTATTTATGTCTGTATGACGCTGTTGTGAGTGTGGACGGAGCAGCTACAGGTTAGTTTAGCCTGATCGATCCGCCCCCTCTCCAGCACGTCTTGTTTGAATGACAGGAGTAAACACTGACAACTGCGGTGAAACTCGAGCGATTAGAGCGATGAGAAAAAACCATGAATTAATGCTTTATTAATTCATGGTTTTTAAGGGGCTTATCTCCATGTAAATACTATGGTAGACTACCCAATATTCGCATCGCTCTAATCGCTCGAGTTTCACCGCGGCTGTCAGCTGTGTTTGCTCCTGTCATTCAAACAAGACGCGCTGGAGAGGGGGCGGGGCGCATCTCCATGTAAATCCTATGGGAGATACCAACTACAACAAAATGAACATATTGACCGTGATTTAATTGTAATACACGTTTCAAAGTGATGCCGAAGTAACTACATACTGATACCGGTTAGTAAAAACCATGAATTAATGCTTTGACAAGTCTGCAGACAAGACGGCAGGCGAAAAGCTTTTAAAATGCGTGTTTTCTGAATGGAATCGGATCGATCAGGCTAAACTAACCTGTAGCTGCTCCGTCCACACTCACAACAACGTCATACAGACATAAATAAAGCAGCGACTGTATTCGCCATGACATAGACAGTCTGTGGTTTGTACATGTTTAACTTTTGTCCAGTTTCTGAACAGATATGAGGAGCTGTGAGCTCTGAGTGTGTGCTAACAGCTATATGTCCCAACACATCAGCCGTTAGCTGTTAGCACACACTCAGAGCTCACAGCTCCTCATATCTGTTCAGAAACTGGACAAAAGTTAAACATGTACAAACCACAGACTGTCTATGACATGGCGAATACAGTCGCTGCTTTATTTATGTCTTACATGGAGATAAGCCCCTTAAAAACCATGAATTAATAAAGCATTAATTCATGGTTTTTTCGCATCGCTCTAATCGCTCGAGTTTCACCGCAGCTGTCAGTGTTTACTCCTGTCATTCAAACAAGACGTGCTGGAGAGGGGGCGGATCGATCAGGCTAAACTAACCTGTAGCTGCTCCGTCCACACTCACAACAGCGTCATACAGACATAAATAAAGCAGCGACTGTATTCGCCATGACATAGACAGTCTGTGGTTTGTACTTGTTTAACTTTTGTCCAGTTTCTGAACAGATATGAGGAGCTGTGAGCTCTGAGTGTGTGCTAACAGCTAACGGTTGATGTGTTGGGACATGTTGCGCTGTCGGGTGCTGACCAATCACGAAGCGTCATTTCTTGACTGGCAGCAAAAACAACCAATCACAGCAGTGCTTCTCTGGCTGGCTCTGTCCAATCACAAACAAGAAGTGTTCTCCCTAAAGGAATACCCTTTCCGTCTAATGTGAAATGCTGTGGTGTTTTCTGAAATGCTGTTGTGTTTTGTGAAATGCTGTTGTGTTTTCTGAAATGGTGTAGCGTTTTGTGAAATGCTGCGGCGTTTTCTGAAATGCTGTTGTGTTTTCTGAAATGCTGTTGTGTTTTCTGAAATGGTGTAGCGTTTTGTGAAATGCTGCGGCGTTTTCTGAAATGCTGTTGTGTTTTCTGAAATGCTGTTGTGTTTTCTGAAATGGTGTAGCGTTTTCTGAAATGCTGCGGCGTTTTCTGAAATGCTGTTGTGTTTTGTGAAATGCTGTTGTGTTTTGTGAAATGCTGCGGCGTTTTCTGAAATGCTGTTGTGTTTTCTGAAATGCTGTTGTGTTTTGTGAAATGCTGCGGTGTTTTGTGAAATGCTGTGGTGTCTTGCACTTCCGGGCCACCGTAATTTTGATCATGATATTCTAACCTCAAGAGGCCTCAGTGGGTTAAATAAAGTCAAATTAATGATTCATGAAGCAGGCAGCACATTCTGATCAGACAGGAGTCAGAGTCCTGTCTGCAAAGTCAGCAACAGCCCACTATCTCACACTGTCTAAGAAGGTCAACATGATACAATTGCTGCCATTAATAAGATACCCCTCAGGTAACTCGTAATTTATATGACCCCCAATATTCATTTCTGCAACAGGGACTATCATTTGACACAACAGCAGACTTGGTCCAGTTTAAACTGCTTTTACTGAAGGTGAATGTATGACCTGAAGGAGTAGCAATAAAGAAAGAGCTGGAAGGAAAAACAACAATAAATAGATAGATAAGTAATTGTTCCAGTGTCACCTTTCCAAAGGTCCCTTTTCCAATGACAGCCAGGAAGTCAAAGTCAGTGGGCCTGGCACTGAGACAAGATAGAGAGAAGTCTGTTCAATTGTGGACAAAAGTACACAACAACCTCTGACACACTTTATTTGTAATGGCTAACAAATGGTAGAAAAGCTAACAGCAAAAACAAATGATATTTGGTTTAAATTGTCTCTTTGTCCCTTTAGGGAAATGGTTTTCATAACAGAAAATGCAGATTCCAATACATTATTGTTATTCTCTGTGTAATTTTTACTGAATTCAGTCCCAACATCTTCAGAAAATGTCTCATCCAGAAAAACAGCTGAAAATATACTTTGAGCAGAGACAGCATTAGTGTATTTTAGCTAGATTTGTAGCAAAGTATCTTGTGCATGAAGACAAAGAGAAATCCATGCTTCAGTGAGAGTAGAGCTACTGACTGTGGGTTTGCTGAAGGTCCCAGGTTGACTTCATCATGAGAAGAGGAGGATGGTGACCACAGCTGGAGGACAAATAAACACAAAACAAGTCAAAAAAAGAAAGACTCAAATAAATGTGTATTCACGATGAATACAAAGTTTAGACTTAAATAACTTTGTATTGACACCCTAACACAAAGTTTAAATTTCAAAACAGTCCAGTACAGAAAACCAAATGGTCACAAACACTATCCATTACACAGAAGTTGATCAGGGACCCAAATAAGGAGAAAATGAGAGGAGAAGGATTTATTTATTTATTTAGCATTTAAATAATTTCAAAATGTCAAGAAAAAACTCAGGACTCACAAAAGGCGCCAACGCTTGTAGGTTAATTAATGCTCCGAAATTTTACATTTATTCACGTCATTTCTGACTTTATCCTCAAAATGCAATAAAGAAATGTTCCCATATACCTGGGTAAGTGTTTTTAAGACAATTAATCTCCATTAAATGGTATCATGGGAACAGTGGCGCCGAAAGGGAAGCAATGTTAAGCCTGATGACACGAGGATCTGAGTCACATTGCATGATCACTGTGAAGTTACAGAACTTTAGATTAAAAGATCTCCCTTTTAAAGATCATCCATTCGATATATGAATGCACTAAGGGATCTGCTTTAGGCAGTGGAGATATCTTCTAAAAACATGAAATCAGGTTTGGAGAAGCTACACAAACGCCCACATTCATCCCAGATGTCCTGAATGTATCGCTAATAATAATTTGCTCACAGACTAAAGAGGCTGCAGGCAGATGGCCTAAATGAAATGAAGTAAAAATCGTCATGCAAACAAAAAAAACACACTCACATTACAGTTTGCCGTGGCCATTATCCATTCCACTCCCACTGATCCAGCATCAGTGTCTGACAGACCTGTGAGCAGAGATATTAAGGGTCATGAGGTGAGCAGAGGAGCCTTTAAACTTTTCTCATTTCACAGATTGTGTGTGTGTGTGTGTGTGTGTGTGTGTGTGTGTGTGTGTGTGTGTGTGTGTGTGTGTGTGTGTGTGTGTGTGTGTGTGTCTGTGTGTCTGTGTGTGTGTCTGTGTGCGTGCGTGCATGCGTGTGTGTGTGTGTGTGTGTGTGTGTGTGTGTGTGCGTGTGTGTGTGAGTGTGTGCGTGTGTCTCCTAACCATCTGCTGACCTCAGATAACATGAGGATCCAGAGGAGCTGGTACTTCTGGTTTGTAAGGAACAAAATGCAGGAAGAACAGAATCACAATGAAGGACAAATGTACATGTGTTCTGTGTGTGAGTGTGTGTGTGTGTGTGTGTGTGTGTGTGTGTGTGTGTGTGTGTGTGTGTGTGTGTGTGTGTGTGTGTGTGTGTGTGTGTGTGTGTGTGTTTGTGTGTGTGTGTGGGGGGGGAGTGTATCAGTGAACACGTTTACACAGTAAATATTGTTGTGTTATTTTCATATTTGTTAAAACATACGGGACACAGACACACACACAAAAATGAAACAAAGTCTCAATTATCCCTAAAGAGCTCCAAGCCGGTTCATTATGCATGAAGACTACAGATCCTGTGGATTGCTTTTTTTGCTGATTTATAAAGTTGTGATAAACAGATATTTTGAAGACACACAGATTTACATGAACTTTATCATACTTTAGGAGAAAACACTCAAAGCAAGAAAATAAATCACTATGCGCAGGTAAATCTAGGGAACTAAATGTCACATTTACTATACATTTCCGGAACAAAAAGCATTAGCTCACATCTAAACACTTAATTTCCTTGAACCAAAAACTGAGCTTCAACTATTTGTCTTTACAAAGAATCTACGTGTTATTGCTCTGTCTGTTCCCTTAGAAAATACAATATATTTGAGCAAGTTGTACTGATGTTTATGGCAGTTGACCCACATTAATATCTACATGAACCAAACAAGTGATTCACACTGCACAAGTAAGGTTACAAGTTAACCACTAAGGATGTTATGCTTTCCTAGATATTTCACAAGAGCTTGCCTTGCACTGAATTTCCCATAGTCTTCCTCAATAATCTGGTGTCAGTGCATGGTATTTTTGGGATTTGACCATTTTTATGAATTCTCGAGTAGTAACAAATATTTTGTATTCTTCCACTCCGAAGTGAATCTTTGTTAAATCAACTCCAAAATCTGACACACTGAATCTGACAAAACCAACTTTCCAACACTAACTTGCAACCTTAACAAAAGAACCATTATCAATAAGACTTTCTCAAGAATATTATAAAGGAAATAAATATTGCAGGAGACAAACCCACAGATTACATATAAACTGACTATTTGGCGCACTGCAGAAAATGATGTCAAGAAAAGAACAATTTATAGACATAAGTTGATATGTATAAAAATAAAATGTGTCTAGACAGCCTGACCCCTGCATAGACTAAAAGCAGAGGTGTAAAGTAACTAAGTGGATTTACTTAAGTACTGTACTTATGTACAATTTTGAGATACTTATACTTTACTTGAGTATTTTCATTTGATGCTACTTTGTACTTCTACTCCACTACAATTCATAGGTTAATTACAGATGAATACATATAATCAACACTTAAATAAGACTTTAGTTACACCTGGAGTAAAATCACAAGCTATTTAGTAAACAAAGGAAATACAATTATAGCTGCATATTTTTTAAATGGGCCAATCTGTATTATATAGTATATTGTGATGCTTTCCTACTTGTACTTATAATTAGCATTATAATATTATAAGCTAATAGCAAGTTGATTAGCTGAACAATAAAACTCAGATAAAGAGAGACGTGAGAATATTCAAGTTTCCTGTTATATCTCCAAACATAGAAAATAAACACTTACTAATTGTATAATAATCAGTGTGTAGATAATCCAGGTGACGTGTGAAACAGCGGGTGTTCTCACCTGTGTGCAGAGGAAGAGAGTGCTGCTCCGTTCAGGACTCAGAGGACACTGAGCAGCGGATCTCAAGTCAGGGTTTATTGTTTATGGTCATGAAGGAAGGTCGACTTCAACAGTGAATCATTAATTAACGAGGCGGAGAGAGGTGTGCACGCGTGTGTGCACGCGTGTGTGCCCGCGCGCGTGTGCGCGTGTTAGAAAAGGAGAGAGTTGGCTGTCCAGACTTCAAAATGATTGTACTTCCGGATTCTGCTCTTCGCTTTCAAAATAAGACAATTAGCCAACACTGTTAAGGACCTTTATATGTTGTAGTTATCAATAAAAAAAAAAGTTAATTAAAAGTTTTGTACAGATAGTGATTACGAAAAATGTTACTGTAACTAATGTAGATTATTATTAGCATGACTGCTAATATTAAATATTATTAAAAAGTTTATGTATACAAATATTGAATAAGATATAGTTTACAACCCACTTACAACCCACACTTACCAGCAGTTTCCAAGAAAAAAGTTGAGTTCATTAGAAGGCAGATTATTTTCCCCTCAAAAGAAATGGAAATGAATATGCAAAATGTTTTCATGTCAAGATTTTAACCGCTGTTTTAAGATATCTCCTAATTCACTGAATACATTCTCTGTGAAAGTAGCAATCTTGTATAACTTGGATTTTAAAATGTATAAGGCTCGATTTGATTTAAATGTTATACTACAAAGTATCCAACATAAGTAGTAAATATGTTGGACACTTTATAGTGTCCAACACTGCACATTTCCCAGTGCAGTTATGACATCAAAAATTAAGAAGCAGCAAGCAATTTAGCTTTTTGAAATGTGTTGCATTTTCCACTCCAGTATACTTTTATTTTGAAGGCAACACAGCAGGAGTCTCTGGCCCCCTGAGCATCCTCTCATGTTTGACACACTTACCACCCAACAATAATTTTGTATTTTCATAAGGTTTAGTGGGTCATCATGTTGTTTTTCTGTCCTCTGCGTTGGAACAAGAAGATAAGTGGTGAGAGCAGGGTGTGAGAGGATTTGTCACCACCACAGCCAACTGTTGACGACAATATGGTGAATAGGGGGATGTGATGTGAGCAAAGTAAGTTTATAGTCAATAGACCAACACACACACGCACCTGCACAAGAACAGGAAATGCAGTGTGTAAAAAAGACAAGAGGCTGCGGCTTTAATCAGACAAGACAGTTTTGGATGTTTATTAATTCATATGGACTGAATGACATTTGTGACCCAAGATTATCTTGACACGCACGCAAACACACGCGCACACACACACACACACACTCACATACACACAAACACACACATACATACACACATACAAATCCCACCAGAGAGACACACAAAAAAGATTCCAAGAGCCCTTAAAACACTCTAGTAAAATTATTTTATCTCACAATGTTGTATTCATACATTTTGTTTTTTAAACCAATTCTGACATATAATGTAAACATTTTAGTGTTGTTGATTCCATCACATGTAAACTACAGAGAGCTTCATGGATTAGATACAAAATCCATGTTTATAGTGCCAAAATGTGTATTTTTGCACTCTCTAGTGACCAAGTGTGGGAACACCATTGTGTAAAATCCATTTGGGTTTCACAGTTGTGCTAAAAGGCCAATGCAAAATGTCCTTTTCATCTATTAAGACTTGCAAACAAAATAGTTTAAGATCTCTTGCATATACATATAAAAACTCAAACACTCTGTTCTTTGACTCAGATACTTTAAAATATTTTTAAATTACAGCTCCTGTATCACTTGAGTTTTCACATTAGCAGTGCGGTTAGAAAGTACAGTGTTGGATAAACTCAAATATCAAATACTTGAGAAAGAGTGGGAAACTTTAAGTGCTTTTCCGTCACAAACGTTAGTCTTTTCCCAACAGTGTCAACATAGCAGCTTTTTAATTTCATTTTCATTTAATTCTGTTACAGAATAATTTGATGAACAGAAAGAGCTGTATTTAACTTTCCCTAGTACAGTACTTTTGTCTTTACGTATTTTATTGCACATAACATGAGGCTTGTAGGAGCCTCACTGACCAGCCTTGTCTACTGCATTTTGTCTGCACCCCCCCCCCCCCCCCCCCCCACTTCCACAGTCTTCTCTTTTCCCTTTTAGTTAACCAATGTTGTAAATCCAGTTGAGTCCGAACCTCGGTATGTCTTGTAAAAATTGTCATGTGTACTTTTTTATTTCCATAACGTATCTGACAATTTTGGGGAGTTACTAGTTCCATGTAACAGCATTATTTTATTATACTACAATAACTATAGTTGTTAGTTACTGAGAATCAAACTACAGTTACTAATCAACTAATCTGTTAGAAAAGTAACCAAATGTAATGAGTTACATTACTTGATGAAGGGTTTAAAAGAGACACTACTTTACTTTTTTAGGGTAAGTAATCTGTAACCTATTACATATAAAAAGTAATCTTCCCAACACTGCCTGTGTTAAGGCCTGCATCAATATGAGTGATTCTCATTCAGGAAGTAAAAGTACAAATATTACTGTAATGCATTTCCTTTGTTTTCTTCTTCTAACCTCTCTCCTTTATTTCCTCTTTAACCCTGATCGCACCTCACCCCCCACCCCCCTCTCTCTGATGGGTACAGGACACCAAACACATGAAAAAAGGGGTCAGGGTCTTTTTTCCCTGTAACAGAATGAATTTGGCACATGATGATCCCAGGTCAGGTGAGGGCGGGATCACTTGAGTACCTCGTCTGTGCTCTTGAACATGAGGATGGCGTTGGAGATCTTGAGGGCGGGGCCTAGCTTGATGCTCATGATCTTCACAATGTCGGTCTGGGTTAGCAGCAGGAAGGCCTCGCCGTCAATCATCTGGTGGGGGGGGCACACACAACTGTCGTGATGCAACTCAAGATTACAGGTTAGGAAAAAACCTAAATGTTTTGGTCTTTTCCTCTGCTACTTGGGGTATCAGATGGATGGAGGACGTTTTGAGGAAGCTAAATAACGTTATTTTAACTCTAACTGTTATCAAGATCAGTTGTCGGTCTGTGTCTGTCAGAAAAAAAGGTTGTGATGTATTTATTTAAAACCTCAGAGACCTGCACTCGAGGCGAAATACTTTTGAGTTTTTGTCTTAAAAATTCCTTTTATGTTATGAATTGTATGTTTTTATCTTATTTTTTTCTTATTTTATGAAGTGTGTTTTTATTATCCATAATTATGACAATCTTTGCCTGTTTTATGTTCATTCTATTGTCTATTTTCCCCTATTGTAGATGATGATCATTATTTATGTTTTGGCATTTTCCTACCTTTATTGGGCAGTTAATGTGAGGAGGAAAAGGTAGGGGGGTTAGGAAATGAAATAAAGATCCCCTGCTGGAATTGAACTGGAAAGGATGTGGCTTCTGAGCATTTTTGGAAAACCTAATTAATTGTAATTAGTTAGAAACTGTTGCAAATACATCATCATTATGTTTTTAAAGCCAACAAAAAAAAAATGGTGACATACCATTCATCAGTAAAAAGGTAACAGGCTGTTGGAACCTGACAATAAATACTGTATAGGCCCGTCTACATTTGGGCATGTGTAGAGCATAAAAGGTGGTCTCACCTCTTCTTTGAAGAGACAAGCCTGTTCTTCACAGCCGATTAGATTCTGTACAAACATGAAGACCTGTGGCACAAACACATCAGATTTCAAATAATCAAACGAACCAACCATTTACAGTATAGATATATAAATTAGGGCTGTCAGTCGATTAAAATATTTAATCGCGATTAATCGCATGATTGTCCATAGTTAATCGCGATTAATCGCACATTTTTTATCTGTTCTAAATGTACCTTAGAGGGATATCTTTCAAGTTTTTAATACTCTTATCAACATATGAGTGGACAACTATGCTTTATATGTTTGTTTATTATCATTTGAACAATGACAAATATTCTCATGAATATTAAACACAACAACCTGAACATTACAAATATTCGCCTCAATTCAACCTGGAACCTCTCTCATACAATAATACTGTGTGTGTGTGTGTGTGTGTGTGTGTGTGTGTGTGTGTGTGTGTGTGTGTGTGTGTGTGTGTGTGTGTGTGTGTGTGTGTGTGTGTGTGATCGTTGGAGCTATGTGCAGCTCAAGGCATAATATGCTCGAATGGGAGCTGCCTGGACGCTGCAATCATGTTGCGCGCACTATCCGTGCTGAGTGTGCTGACTTTTCGTACAATGTCCCACTGTCTGGCTACCTGCATAAAGTCAAGTGCTCGGCGCAGTTGTCGGCGAAATGTCATTGAAACAGCTCCTTATATCCGTTAGCGCAGCTAGCTAGCACCAGATGCTAACAACAACAACACGTAAGGTGTGCCTCGCTCGCGCGAGTCGCGCCACACATACACACTCCCTCCCGGTCCTCCCGATGGCCAGTCCGGGCCTGCCAGTGAGCGTGGAAGTGTGGTCTGCCACAAGCGGGCAGCAGGAGCGGGGCTGTCAGCATCAGCTTGTCGATGGTATTTTAAACTCGATGCGCTCTGAAACTACGGCGGCCGAGGACAAAAAATACACATGCGTTAATCGCGTTAAAATAATTAGTGGCGTTAATTTTTTTTTGCGTTAACGCGTTATTAACGCGTTAACTTGACAGCCCTAATATAAATATATGGGTAAGTGCTGAGGTTTTCTCACCTCTTCCACGCTCCATGCTGCCACCTGGCTGGCGTGAATGCCCTGAACGCCGGGCAGCAGCTTACAGTGCTGCTCCCAGCAGAGAGACAGAGTCCTGTCTGTCTGACCGCTCAGAGCTGACATGAACAGGGACGGGTACACTCCCTCTGAGGACAGGTCTGAGGACAAACATGCACACACAAACATTTGGCTTAATAATAACAGGAAAAGTAAAAGTGTTTCTAATACTTGTACTGCCGTATAGCTACAGACGTCAAAGTTCACTATAGTTGAACCTGAATGTTTTATTCGCCCCTTGGCTCGGATATAATGAAAATAAACGTGATGTGAATTATGCATATATGTGACCTTGCCCTGCCACAAGTTAAATATGCCTTGAAGGCTTATAACCAAACGTTTGTTATCCGGCATTTTGCCATCGGATAATTTTCATGTCAAAGCGTTAAAATTAGTTAACTAAAACAAGACGGTGTTGTGCCTATGGACAGACATGAGTCAGCAGAGACATATATCTTTCCACTGAAAGACTATAATAAGCTCCTTAAAGCAGGATAAGGCTTCAGGTTTGACAGGCAGACCCCCTTAAGCTGAAGTAAACTAAAATCCTCTCATCAATGCAGGACATGTGAAGGGAATTTCGAAAACTCACTGTGGTAGTCTCTCTGCTGGTTCTTCCTGTATTTGGGAGGACGGCCAATCCTGAAAACAGAGGAAAAGATGAATGTGAGTCAAAACCAAACATGAATGCACACACACACACACACACACACACACACACACACACACACACACACACACACACACACACACACACACACACACACACACACACACACACACACACACACACACACACACACACACACACACACACACACACACACACACACACACACACACACACACACACACACACACACACACACACACACACACACACACACTTCCCAATGCTGCACACAGAGCCGCATACATAGGGTTCCAGATAGTGTGTACATGAACTGCATACATACACACTCCTGGCGTTGTGGAAAGACGGCTGGGCTGAATTACCACTAAACCTAATGACTATTTCATGTCAGGATAAGAGGAAGAGCAGAGAGGAAGGTGAGAGGCCAGGAACTGAGCAGGGATGGATTCAGCAGGACTGATTCTCCCTATTTCCTTTTCATCCTATTAGTCTCGTCATAATAAATAGATCTCAGAGTATGGATGACATTTGTTTTTGTCTGAAATGTTTGATGGTATTGATACTTTTAATTTAGCCAAGTAAGATACAAACTTACCATCTAAGTCTTAACCATGGTTGATCCATTGATCAATTGGTTTTAATTCAAGTGTTTAATGCCGTTCAAGCTTCTGTTTGAATTCAATATGACTCACTCATATCATTTTGTGAAACCTTGCAATACAGTGGTTTAAGTTTTAAACAATAAGCTTTACTACTAGCTTTCTACTCTACACTGTGGAAAATGCATACACAACTTCAAAAACACGCACACAAAAATACACACTGGCAAAAGCACAGAGGAGACATAACAAGAGAGGCTAAAGAAAACAGAGTGCAGTGAGCTATGAACTCAAAAGTTCATACACACACACGCACACACAGTCCCAGTGTGGTTCAGATCAGTTTTTTTTTTCTTTCGGTAAGCCGTTCTTTTTAGTTTGCTACAATACATTTGTTGCACCCCCTTCCACAGCAGTACATTGGGGCTGGCTGACACTACTGTACATAATACACTGACTATGGATAACTACCTCATACAATCCCACTACAAAACATTCAAACTTTCCCTTTTTTCTACCAGTTTAATATTTACCTGTAGAATTTCTAGTCAAACAACTTTTTTGATGATTTGCTATAAAATAGCCACCTGTCAAATTCTTGCTTCTAGACCTACCTGTTAGATTGTGGACTGTAAATTAGTCACATGTTAAATACCTACTTATATACTTATATAAATATATGTGGGAGATAGTCAACTGTAATGTAAGTGCAAATGTCTAGTTTCTACAAGTTAACCTTACAGTTGGATTCTCTTCTCCCAGGTGGGGGAGTTGGACCAGCCAGACCTCAGTCACACGGCTGTTGCTATCGTCAGCGTTGTCACCGAGAGCACTACAAGTCCAGTTCATCCCAGGCCTGCAGGTACTGCTAATGTGGTGGAAGATGATTTTGTGATCAGGGATATCCCCAGGTTAGCAGATGCATTTTTATTGTTAACTGGGTTGATGTACGCATTACATTTGGACTACCCCAAGAAACTCATCAACTATTTCACCTTCATCCAGAAAGTGCGGATGGGTTTTGCACATATTATCTGTGTAATAACTTGATAGTTTATTGGTTAACACATTGTTGCTTAAAGCATTTGAATGAAACTGTTTACATTTCGTAGATATCTTGCCCACCAAATCTTCCTCCGTTGCTCATGTTATCACTTTAAATAGTTAGCGAAGCCTGGAATATGTGCCTTTTACAATAATAAATTGTTAATTATTGTATTATTATTGTGTAGGTACAAATGGGATAATCAGGCCATATGTGTTTAAGATACACACGATCACACTTGTATACGGTTGTGTCTAAAAGGTAACCGACAAGTTGCAAAACTCTTTGGATGAACAATTAAAGAGTGAAATGTGTGTATTTGTTGAGTATATTTAACTTGAATTAATAAAATAAAAATATTAGCTGATGAGTTATTTTCAAATATATTTTTTTAATTTGATATTGTATTTAGCACACAGACTAGATAGAAGTGGACACACACACACACACACACACACACACACACACACACACACACACACACACACACACACACACACACACACACACACACACACACACACACACACACACACACACACACACACACACACACACACACACACACACACACACACACACACACACACACACACACACACACACACACACACACACACACACACACACACTCACTCACTCACACTCACTCACTCACCTGCCACGGTAATGGGTCTTCTTGGGTCTTTGGCTGAGGAAGAGGGTCCTCTTGCACTCGGAGTCTGACAGTTCGGCCTTCAGCCTGCCTTGGTTACGCTCAGCCAATGGGCAGCCGGATATGCAGTGATGGGCCGTGAAACGCCCCGTCACATGGCCCGAACCATCACAACCAGGAGTAGGACACTTCCTGTTTGAGTGCATTTTAAGGAGATGTTAGATTTCCTGATTTAACTGTGATGCGTATTTTGAATGGTTGGCCTGCTGAATAAAGTTTTAATTGACCTGGTGATAGAGTTGAGATCAGCTGACCTGTTGTGGAAGCTGTACTTGTTGGCTCTCGGGTGGCTGATGGGCTTACAGGGAACAGAGGAGGGGTAGGTGGACTGGCCTGTAATGGGGGGAAGATCCCTCATACCTGTACATTAAAAAATACACATTCAAAAACTAGTTCACAAACCCCCTTGCAATGCTGCAGTAAGGGAGATTATGCCAATTGCTACCAAGTGATGGAAAGTTTAATGGGCCTATTTCTCAGCTAACATTTTGAGTTGTCACACTAATACTTACTGATTAAAACCATCATGTATATATCAGCAACATATATGGAAACTAGTTTTATAAAATTGACATTGATGAGAGAAATGTAATGAATCAAACCAATTGCATGCAAACCAATGAAAAAGCAACAGAGTAAATAGTGGAATGTATAAATACTGGCAGGATAGTTTTAAGAGGGAAACAAATTGGTGTTTTCATAGTGCAAACAGTAAAACAGTTGCAAAAAAAAGTTCAATAGTTTAGAAAACAAAGGTGTTCTCATTTGAATTAACATTCAAATGTACAATCTCTCCCCTTCCCCAGTTTAATTGTCATCACAGACATCTTTTGATTACAACAAATGTATTTGTTCTTTAATTTAAAGGTGGGGTAGGTAAGTTTGAGAAACCGGCTCGAGATACACTTTTTGTTATATTCCATGGAATGCTCTTAACATCCCGATAGCAATGAATATCTTAAGTGCTTTGACAAAAAATCCATAAAGAAATGTCATCTGTGGAAGCTGTAGTACTGTAAAAAGCACGACCAATCATTTTAGCCGGCCCGGCTAAAATAACTGGATGGCCTACCTGCCTGTCAGCCTTCCATCTCGTGCACAAACTTATCTCGTGCCCTCATTGGTCATGTGTGCGTTCGTATGTGTTGGAGGAGGGGCTCTGTAAGGAAGTGGCAGATTTTTTCCGGCTGTGTATTTTCAAATTCTAGCGATCTCGAGCCGGTTTCTCAAACTTACCTACCCCACCTTTAATGATAGCTACTAAAAATAACTTTGATTTGAGTTTTGAAGAAAATCAACTTGCAGTTTGGACTGAAGTGCAGGCTGCTCCCGTGCGGCTGCTGTGTTTTGGAGTCCCGCGGGGGAACTTTGAGCGGGTGATTGGTCGCCTCACACCAGCCTGCTGGGTGGATGTCGGGGTGATCTGAGTCCATCCACTCATCATAGACGTGACTCCAGCCGTCATAATGGACCTGAAGGAGCATCAATATATATACTCTGCATGAATACACGTTAAATATTTAAACAGCTAAAATTCCTATGATAGCTTCAGGGTTGGTTAAAGATGTACAGAATCACTTAATGGTAGTATTTTAACCTTAGACATTAGTACTTATATATTTATAAATAAAAGCGCTCCACACAGAGTATTACCCTAATGCGATGAATCTCCACTTCCATCACTGAAGCCACTCTGATCAGACCGGGGCTTCTCTTGTCCACGGCCTCCAGTTTCATCTGAGTCTGGAAGCTGTGGGCCGCACGCTGGAGAGGACGCGCAGAGGATGATGGGAACCAAACATGTCAAACATACATTCTATAAAGCATTGGAAACATCATTTCTACTATTTTATTTGCAGAATTGTATGCCTTTTGTTAGATATTTTACATCAGGGAGATTAAAGGAAATTAGGGAGTTAGATGGGAAACTACATGTAGCAAAGGTCCTCGACGGACTCAAACTCCAGGCGTTGTAGTTAGGGTTAGTTTGGTTCTTTTGAAGGGGAGCTGTGAGGTACTTCTATAGACGGTGTATTACCTACAGTAGATTGCGATTGTCACTACCCCGGTGGGCAGCAAACAGCTCTTTTGATAACTGAAGATGTCATCTTTGAACAAGACTTCATTGCAAAACCAGTACCAGTACCTTGCAGGTTTCTGGTCTAGCGCAGCCTCAATTGGTTAGTTGTGTTTTCTATATGATTTTGGTTATTTTGGCTATGCTGCTGTTATCCGCCGGGCCATACCACAGATCCACACTCCAGCTAGGTAGTACGGGATGGTTCGGATGTTTTGAAGTGAGGTGGTGTTACGTTGTTATCCAGAGTTAGTGTACTACAGATATGTGTCAGCATTTCATATCATTTTTTAATTGGATGAAAAAGAGTACATTTATCATTAGTCCTCACCACTTTGAAGGCGTCTGCAGCCACCGCCTTGGACCCAGTCTCCTCCAGGTACTGAGACCAGATAAACCGGGCCTGGTCTGGGTAATCTGGTGCATCAGAAAATAAATTCACATCTGTACCTTAATAGAAACATATAAAATCATCCCTTAAGAGTCTTTCTATTTGTGCAAATGTTTGTTATTATTTTAAAGGCAATGCTTACTAGGGCTATACATTGAAGCCCCCAAATGAAGATATTTGAACTCAAAAGCATTACATCATCAAGGCATTTTTACAAAAATGATTAAATATGAACATGATTGAATGAAAACAGTAAACACACTGGTCACCTTGGGGTGGTGTTAGTGGGAGGTCCCTCTCTTGGCACCAACCAATCGGGTGAATGTATGGACTGCTGGAATCACACCTGCATAGTTTGACTTGCTTTAGCAATTTCATAAAGTATGTAATAATATAAAAATGAGATATATCTTTAGCCCACACATCCTGTTTCTGAGGCTTACCAGTAGTCGTACGTGTCGTCCCAGTTGTCAAAGTGCACCAGGAAGCGGTCGTCCACCACATCAGTGACGGTGGCCACGCAGATGAGGGAGGGGTTCATACGGTCCACTGCCTCAAGCTTCGTTCCTATCTCAAAACTGCTCTTCACATCAACCTAAACAGAGAGTAGAAAGGGCATATTGAAGTAGAGAGGGACAGAGCTGTGGACTTAAATTATGCACAAGTTGTTGACAAAGTTATTATTAATTTGACTGTATCTAAATGTGTTGAATCCACAAATAGTACGAGTGCCAGAAGGATACAGTTTGATGAATTGGGATTGAACGCTGGTAGAATTAAACATTAGCTAGCAGGAGGAAGTCAAGTCAACATGAACACAACTATCCTTTTCTATACAAGTTATATGTTTTCTGAGAGACTATAACTGAAAAATCTTTTTTTACTATATATGCTTTTGATTGGAGCCAGAGTTTTCACGACCCTAAATCATTCTCACCTCATCCACTCATGCTTGTAGATAATGCTACTACCGTATATTATATAGTGGCAGTTACCCTCCCAAGACTGGCAAACAGCTCTTTGGGCGCCACTTGTGCTTTAGTCATTCTCAGGTAGTTGGCCCAGGTAAACTCCTCCTCTTTACAGCCTGCAGGAAAAACAGAGATACAGAGAAGATTAAAGATACCCATGTTTGGTAAAGCATTCAATCATTGAGAGGAATATTTTTGACATTTTCTCTTGTTGAGAAGTTAGAGGATGCTAATCTGATATATGTACGTTGAATATGATGCTACAGCCAGAAGATGGTTAACATAGCTTAGCATTTAGACTGAAAACAGTGGCGAAAAGCTTGCCTGGCTCTAAAAGGTAAACAAAATTCACATACAATTAGACCTGTCAAAGTAACTGTTTTTGATTGACGATAAATTATCTCATGAATAAATACAATAAACAATATATTTTCCATTTTAATATCATGATAATATGAGAGCAATGAATTTGGAGTGGAATATGAAAAGATGTGAGAACATGCGAAAAGTTCTTAATTTAATTAATGTAAACAGGCAATATTAAGGTTAGCGAAAAGGATCAAGGTCATCTCAAAATATTGTACAATAGGTTGAAACTGCATAAGTGAAGCAAGCTGTTTATTATTTTTAGGTTTTCTTTGCCGTTGGTCTTTTCAATATGTCGTGACCTCTGACCTTTGGGAGTGTGCAGTTTGTGTCCCGTGCTCTCACACCAGCCTGTGGGGTGGATGTCGGGGGAGTTGGCGTTCACCCAGAAGTCGTGGCAGTCGGAGTAGCCGTCAAAGTGAAGCCGCAGCCGGTAACCACAGACCTGCAAGAGGACACGACGCATGAGACGAAAGAAAGCAGCTGATCTCCACCTGCATGCAGAGCAGCCTGCCAGTGGATGACTGTTTAGAATCCTCAATAATCAACAGGGCCATTAAGACGCATCGACCGCGATAATGGCCGTCTGGCTCACCTCGGCCACGGTGAGAACAAAGTACATGGACGGATGCTGCGGGTCGATTCCCTCCAGCTTCATCCCCTGCTTAAAACCGTTCTTCACTGTTGGCACTCTCTGTGTCTGGTCCCAGGAAGAAATAGACAGAGTATTTGAGTACACACCACAGGGATAAAATAAGCTGAAAATAGAGGAGAGCGGGAAATTGGATCCGAACAACAAACAAAGAAAAGATGAGATTACAGAGTTTTATTTTAACATCGTTTTTTAAACATTTTTTGAAATAAAATAACCTTCAAATGTACATAACTCAACCCCACTCTTTATCAGAATAAGAATATTAATGTATGTCCTTCGGCTGCATACATCTCTGTGTCCCAGGTACATTTACATTTCTCATTTCCTTCCTTGACAATGCTGCACTATTTTTCCACTCAGGGCTATAGATCTGTCCCTGTGCTATAAATAGAGCTGCAGTGGTAGTAAAGAAAAGCAGTAAAAATCATGGGCACAGTGGGTAAACCTGTGAGTACATGGCCAGAAACTGCAGTCTGAATATTAAACTCGAACATACAATACCTCCTGGAAAAGGTTGTTGGGCGCCGCAACAGATTTGGTCTCCTCCAGATACTGAGCCCACGTCCACTGCTCTGTCTTACTGTCTCCAGCTTCAACAAAAACACAAATAAAGTCATTATTTGTTTATGAGAGCAAATGGGAAGAGGAAAAACATTGAATAAGAATACATAAAGGAAGTTGGTAAGTAGGAGGGAACCCAGCTAGCGGGGAACGTTCTCACAACTTTGGCTAACGTTACCTACAGGTTCTAATAATGTTTTAAAGAAACGTTTTAATCTGATGTTCAAAGAACCTTTTTAGGATGTTTATTATTTTAAATAATGTTCCTATAAGGTTTAAGGTTAACTAAGACATAACGTTTTAACTGCAACATTCAGAGGATGTTTTGAGGATGTTATTGAGGCCTGAGATGACAGAACGTATTTTTATAAAACGTTCCTTTAATGTGATATGTTAACAAAGGTGGAACGGTTTGCCTGCAACATTCTAAGGATGTTTTTTGGACGTTGTTGGGTAACATATTATAGATGTTCTTTTATAAAACGTTCCCTCAATGTTACATGATAACAAAAGAAGAACATTCTCCAAGAAACATTCTGAAAATGTTTTCAGGATGTTATTCTTTTTTTATAAAACGTTCCTGTGATGGCAAATATTAACACGGTCATGGTCAACATCAGATTTATTTCTAGAGCGCTTTAAAAAACAAACTTGTTGCTTTTGTTTGAAAAGGATGTTTTAAACAAATCTGATGTCACCATATTTTCCTTTTGAAAAAAACAAACAAGCACGTAATTCATGATAAGCTGTAAGCAGATATTGTATGTTTGCGGTGGCATGTGTGAGTTCCCAGCTAGACATTTTTGTTACCATTCATTGTTCTAGGAATGTTTTCAGCGGGACGTTTTATTTTGGTTCCCAGAATGTTCTTCTGAAAGGTAGGATAACGTTCTTTAAAAACATTCTTGAAATGTTTGATGATAACCTTCTTAAGATGTTTTTGATAACATTGTTAGAACATTATGCCCTACTGTTCTTAGAACGTTTTCAGCGGGACGTTTTATTTTGGTTCCCAGAATGTTCTTCTGAAAGGTAGGATAACGTTCTCTAAAAACATTCTTAACATTTTTGGTGATAACTTTCTTAAGATGTATGAGCGCATTGAGACGATGAATAGGACGTATAAAAACGAATTTGCATGCCAATATTCACTCACATGCACTTATAATCACACTAAGGTATGTAGGCCCACAGTATTCATAATATTATTATGTGTAAAATATCAGAAAATAATCAAACTTTTTTCTGACTATAAAGGTTGTGTCTCGTATGTAGGTTCTAAGTGTTAGATAAGCTATCTGGCCGTGTGTGGTTTGTGAGGGCTGCGTATAAACAGTGTCCGCTGTTTATGCATATTGGATACAAATCGTTAATGCACCCTTTAGATTTGAGACCGACAGACATATAGAGGAACGGACCGACTATCACTGCCCGTCCCTGAAACCCCTGTTAGTGTTTGTATGTGTTTGTTTCTACTGTGTGTCTCTCTCTCTGCCTGCTGGTCTGCTCGACACGGCTTTATTGCGTGCCGCTCTAGCTTTTTACCAGCATATTCTTTGACAACTTTGCCTGCTTTTGCCTCACACTCATTTTTATGTCTCTCCCAGGAGGAATCCAAGGTCTTCCACACTCCCAAGACCAGCCAGGCCTCTCTACCCACCCTGGAACAACTGTTTCCCACTGCCGCCATAACCAACCTCCACTCCCAGCTCCCCTTTTCTAATAAACAAATGTTACTTTCACCAGCTGATTCCGAGTCTGATTCTGGTTCCCCTCCAGTACATGTGACACCGACAGTGACTTGTACTAGCTGCTGGTCGCATTTAAAAAAAAAAGAAAGAAAGACTTCTGATAAATTGGAACGATAAAGCACGTTATCCTACTCTAAAATAATAACATTCTGGCAACATAAAAAAATCTAACTTGCAGCTGAAAACGTTTTAAGGATAGTAGGGCATAATGTTCTAACAATGTTAACAAAAACATTTAAAAAATGTTATTACCAAGCATTTTAAGAATGTTTTTAGAGAAAGTTATCCTACCTTTCAGAAGAACATTCTGGGAACCAAAAGAAAACTTCCCGCTGAAAACATTCCTAGAACAGTGAATGGTAACATTCTCAGAATGTTTTTAGAACCAAACATTTCTAGCTGGGAAGCAGCTAATGTTCCTACATGGAGGAATATAATTGAAGACAAGAGAGAAACGACTTAAAGGTCAGGGAAGGACACGATACAAATTAAAGACATAAAGGGGCTGGATCATTTGTCTCTATTGAAAAATGAAATGCAGCGTCTCGTTTAAAAAATACAACATGTCAGAGAGATATTCATTTAACTTGATGGAAAACTTAAAAATAAAAAGTCCTAATTTGTTATTGTCTTTGTATGGAATTGCAGCTTGTCAGGAGTATGTTATTATCTGTCTGTCTGTCTGTCTGTCTGTCTGTCTGTCTGTCTGTCTGTCTGTCTGTCTGTCTGTCTGTCTGTCTATCTATCTTATTGCAGACAACAACATTTTAAACATACTTAAAGTTACAAATATACCCAATTCTATGCTACAGTATATACTGTATGTATATCATAAATCCCCGGTCATTTAGTCTGCACATATATGGGATTAAGGATCTTTTATATCTCTAAATTCTACATCTTAGCAAGGTCTGTTTGTAAGAGGGAGAGGAGGAAGTGAAAAAAACAGAAGATGTACCTTAACATAACTAAAGAAAAACAAGAAAGGATGACAAATTATAAAACAGACAAATAAGACAGATATGAGTTCAACCTCCTCTGATGAGCCTGCAGTCTGCTTTAGAATCATCCGTCTTCTCATCCTAAGAAAAACAAAAATTAAACGAAAGTCAAAAAGTAGAAAGAAAATACTGTCACTGAATTAAAGGAAACACATTACATTGTTATTAATTAAATGATTATTTTCCATGACCTTTATCAACCACATCACTTAAATCTGAGTCATATCTAGGTGTTAAATGTTAATCACAATGCAGTCCCACCGTGCCTTCGATGTCAGAGTCTTCCTCAGAGGGACTCAGGTACTCCTTCCTCTTCCTCTTCCTCATGGGCTTCAGGTGGTCGGGGTTAAGAGAGGAGACCCTCCCGCCTGCTGGCACCTTCTCCACCCCGATACTCCTCCTGAGGTGAGGAGAGAAATAAAAAAAGAGTGCTCGTTTCCACACTCATCACCTGAGCGTAGCTGGTTTTCTGTTGTGATGATATTTGTGTCTGCCTCTCCGCTGCAGGACTGATGTTGCTTTATGGTTTTAGTGTTCCCTATTTGTCTCAAAATGTCTACTTCAGTGAGGAAAGATACACCATCAACCAAATCAATAATATATCTACCAGGATAAAAATATAAGGGTGATAATTAATGCAGTGCTTTAGGAATGGGTCTTAAAACCTAGAACTGTGTATTTGTGCTCTCGTGGTTTCCTTGTAATTGAGGTCTGTGGCTTTTTGGTCAACACAAGATTCAGAGATTTTCATGTTTTGTTTTCAATTTAAAATACGTCAGTAAATACTCATGACACTGGTGAATTTTGAAGTTTTTTCGGGATTTTAAAGAGTTGGTTGCTTACAAGAGGCTAAATGAGACTACAGAGGTTGCCGGGGCATTTACCGGCATGACGACGAACACATAGGAAACTTTTCTATTAAGTGGTAGTGGTGCCACTTTAAGTATCATAACGTTTTTGTGCCACAAAGTTTGTTATTGCAATAATACAAACTAAAGCCCCATTGGCTTTTTTTTCAAGGAAACCAGTGCAATGCTAACTTCCGGGTTGATTGCAATAACTCATTATCCCTGCAGCTATCTATACACAATAGGAAATCTAAAAACAATAGGTTTAAAATCCAGATTCAGGGAATCTTAAAAAGAAAGGGAAGTTTCTGGGAAACTTAAAAAGATCTTGGGGAGGCTTTAATAGAAAGGTTTATTCATGTATTTTATACCTGTGTTATTCATGTTTATTTAATTATCTTAGCTTTTTAATGACTGTTTTTAAATGTCATTTTATAACGTGTTTCCGCTGCCCTATTTCTTAATGCTCTTAATGTCTTTTATTTTTGTAAAGCACTTTTAATTGCCTTGTGTTGAAATGTGCTGTATAAATAAACTTGCCTTGCCTATACATGAATAATTAAAAGTGCACACGTGTATACAGAGGTGCATGAGTGAGCATAGAGCAGAAGCAGCTGTTGCCATCATACTTGTCAGTGATTGGCTCTCTGCGCAGCTCCTCGGTGTAGCTCCTCTGAGCTCGGGGATCGTGGTTCTGATGTCCCGGTCCCACCTGGACCTCATGTTTGACCACCGGCACAAACCTCTCCGGCTCCACGGCTCCTCTCACTGAGCCCACAGGAGCCAACACATCTGACAGATGAGAGACAGACTGATTAGACAGGATAACTTATAAATACAAATTATTCAGTGTCTTGAACCTGCATGGGTACTGTAACACTTTTACAGTATTTCTGATCTATTACTGTTTTGACTATTTAAACCACTGAATGATTACTTTTAGGATTTTATGTTGGATTTTTGATTTTTACCAAACATGTCAGTGATGCCTGTAGTATTTTATCATGAAACTGCAGCTGCACTCTTCACTCGGCTAGAGAAGCTCTGCTGCAGCTGATGTAATTATTGCTCAAGTGATCATTGAAAAGGGCACGCTGCAAAACACTTCAAATACAAGTGCATCCATGTATAGAAAAGCAACTCTCCTTAACTAGCATGATACCTGCAACACCAGCAAATACACAAAGATGTTATATCTCTCACAGGCTCCGCCCTCTACTGGACTCTATGGGTACTCCCCTTGATCCTATCATGCAAGCATTCATCCACTGAGACTTTCTAGACGTAGCCGGCCCCAGGGCGGGCCTACCTGAATGCACGCGCATCTCACCGCATAAAAGGAGGCCTCGCCTCCTGACTGTCATCCCTTTCTCTTCAGCAAGCAAGAGAGACACAACTGAGTGAAGAGAGAGGGATAGAATGTAAAGCAAAACGAAGAAAATGGACTCACCATTGCTGGAGCAGCGCCCCTGTCCTTTCGTGTCCGGGCACCATTGAAGGCGCCGACCTCCACCGCCAGTGCATTGAATGCCTGGGGTCCGACCACGCGGCGGCCAACCTGGGCGCGCGCTTACGGTCTGCAGCGCCTGCCGGCTAATTCCTCAGCTCAGCCACCATCAGTGGCTGGCGCAGTTTGAGGACTGCTACGTCTCGCCGGTGGAGGACCCAGAGCTCGACGTGGTGGAGATGGAGGACCTCGAGGAGGGAGTGCCCTTCGTGTTCGCCATACCAGCGTCCCGGCGGAGAGAGGTGATTTCTCCGGCCAGGACGCGAGGGCGAATACCGCCTCCTCCCTGTTTGATCCCACTGTGACAAGGTCGTCTTTTGCTAATAATAATAAAAGAGATTGCTTGTATTCCAGTATGAGTGTCTTTTCTTTCCACACACCCACACAGCCACGTAATGTTGACCGTACAGATTCCCCACTCGCTGCCCAGGTTGTAACTCCAGTAAAGGAGGCAGCTAGTGTGCATGTGCGGGTGAGAGTGATAAACCGCACTATGCGGGTACAGGGACATTATGGCCGGCGTAGCAGGGTTAGAAAACATTTAACGCAGAGTGTAAAAACTCCGCTTGATGCATTTCACTGTTTGGGCGAAAGCATCATGGCGGAGCGCGCGCTCCCGAGCGCCGCGGCGTGTCGATCCCCCATGGGCAGAGCTTCCCTTCGCGGGGAGTTTTGCGGCGGGACGGGTCACCAGAGAGTACCACAGCTTTATCGCTGGGGCCTCACAGCTGATTGCACATCCTCTAACACAGTGTTATGGGGAATGGAAGCGCAGCTGCGTGTTAACGGAGTGGATGGACAGGACGCTGAGACTGGGTTATTCACTCCAGTTTTGCAGCATCCCTCCTCCGTTCACAGGCATAAGAGAGGCAAAGCTATCATCCCGAGGGGTGATAGGTTTTCTCTCAGCAGAGGTTCAGGCCTTGGTGCAAAAACAGGCAGTGTCTGCTGTGTGCACGCAAGACAGAGAGGGGGGGCATTATTCCCTGTACTTCCTGGTTCCCAAAAAGACGGGCGAATTCAGGCCCATTCTGGATCTTCGCAGTCTGAATCTGCACATTGCACGCAGAAAATTCCGGATGTTAACTATAAAACAGTTACTGAGACTGGTGCAGCCAGGCGATTGGTTCACAACCATCGACCTGAAGGACGCTTACTTTCATGTCGAGATTGCTGCGAAACACAGAAAGTATTTGCGTGTTGCCTTCCAGGGGGTGGCCTACGAGTACAACAGGCTGCCGTTCGGCTACTCCCTGTCCCCACGCACGTTCAGCAAATGTGTGGCCACAGCGCTCCAACCGCTGCACGGCCGTGGCATGAGAGTTTTCTTTTATCTGGACGACCTCATAGTCATGGCCAGGTCCAGGGAAACGGGCAATGTGTTACACAGCCCAATTGATTCCTACACCTAACCAAGTTGGGTTTTGCGATCAATTGGAAGAAGAACACCCCCATACCTCACCAACAGGCGTTGTATTTGGGGGTGGTGCTCGATGCAGGCAGGCTACGCGCCACCCTGTCAGAGAGCAGACAGGCATCCTTGCTTCGGGCAGTTTGCAGACTGCGACAGGGGGCAACAGTGACGGCTTTGACTATCATGCAGACCCTGGGTCTCATGGCGGCGGCTCACGTTGTGGTCCCACTCGGGTTACTGCATATGCGCCGCCTGCAGAGGTGGTTCTCCAGCCTGCGTTTAGATCTCAAGAGACACAAACGGCGTCTGGTGACCATCCCCCCCTCAGTGGGAGGCAACCTCCGGTTCTGGGGGTCCCCGGATCACCTCCGGAGGGGGTCCCCACTGGGACGGGTGACCTCCTACATCAGTGTTTACGGACGCATCCGGAACAGGATGGGGAGGGACCTGCATGGGGAGAGCTATAGGTGGGCGCTGGTCTCTAACAGAGACACGGCACAGCAACCTCCTAGAGCTACGGGCAGTAGTGTTGGTCCTCCAGCATTCCAAACCCTTAATTCAGGGGAGACATGTAGTGGTCAGGAGCACCACAGTGGCATATATATATGGCACAAGCAGGGCGGAGTCCGCTCCACCGCTTTGCTGACCACAGCGGAGAAACTGTGGTTATGGGCTTCAGAGGTGGTGTTATCTCTGAGAGCCCTCCACATTCCGGGTCTGGAGAACAGGGGGGCCGACCTCATGTCGAGGGGCGGACCCCTGCCAGACGAGTGGGCGCTTCACCCGGAGGTGGTGAAGCGGATCTGGGCCCGGTTCGGGACAGCAGAGGTGGATCTGTTCGCCAGCCGGCGCAACAGCCACTGTGCCCTGTGGTTCTCCATGGCTCTGAGCGACGACCCGCCCTTGGGAGTGGACGTGTTTGCACACGAGCCATGGCCAAGGAAGCTGCTCTACGCCTTTCCACCGCTGTGTCTCATTCTCCCGCTCCTGGGGAGAGTGAGGCGAGAACATCTGTCAATCATCCTCGTAGCGCCGGATCGCGTCGGGGCACCGTGGTACTCAGAGATGACACAGATGAAGGTGGGCCAGCCCTGGGCGCTTCCCCAGTTCTGGGGGGCGATGTCTCAAGAGGCAGGTGCAATCGGGGCGTTACCCACTCTGGGCCAACCTCTCCAGGCTTGGCTCCTGAGAGGGACAGGCTAAGACAGGGTGGATTGTCTGATAGTGTTATTCAGTCTATCCAGGCGGCTAGAGCGGGATCCACCAAGCTCTGTCCAAGAAACGCCTGGCAGGCTGGCTCTGCGAGTGCATTGCACATGCCTACGGACAGGCGGGGAGAGCCTTCCCCACGGGGGTCCGTGCACACTCTACACGAGCCATGGCGGTGTCAACAGCCTTATTTAACGGCGTGAGTGTGGAGGACATATGCACGGCGGCGTCTTGGTCAACGCCAGGCCCCTTCATAACGTTTTATCTCTTGGACATGTCTGGCTCCTTTTCATCGTCTGTGCTTGCTGGGGCAACGCAGGACTGGTGAGGAGGGGGGGGGGGGCTGTGGGTCAGTGGGCATCTGACCACCTCCCCGGGCGTAATGCGCAGCGGCTGCTAACCAGAAAGCCGGTCAGAAACAGTGAGATGGAACAGTGTTGTTGTGGGACGACAGCGCGTGTATACATCGGGGCTCCGCCCAATGTACCCATAGAGTCCAGTAGAGGGCGGAGCCTGTGAGAGATATAACGAGGGGTTACGTATGGTAACCCTTGTTATATAAACACAGGCGGAGCCCTCTACTCACAGGGCCCTGTCTGTCCTCTGCTGCTTGCTGAAGAGAAGTGTAGGATGACAGTCAGGAGGCGAGGCCTCCTTTTATGCGGTGAGATGCGCGCACATTCAGGTAGGCCCGCCGGGGGCCGGCTACGTCTAGAAAGTCTCAGTGGATGAATGCTTGCATGATAGGATCGAGGGGAGTACCCATAGAGTCCAGTAGAGGGCTCCGACTGTGTTTATATAACAAGGGTCAAATGTGTGATTTAAAAAATGATGTGATACCTAAAACCAGATAAAAAATGTATTTCAAGGTATATCATTTTCTGTTGGATGATTAAATTGGCAGTATGAAACCATGACTCTACCTGGCCTTTCTGATGGAGCAGTTTCTGCGTCACAAGGTCTCCCAGAGGTCCCGGCTGCTGGTTCGGTGCTGCTGGTCGTCCCCGGGCTGATCAGCGTGCTCAGGGTACCTACGTCACTCACACAGAACTACAACACACACACACACACACACACACACACACACACACACACACACACACACACACACACACACACACACACACACACACACACACACACACACACACACACACACACACACACACACACACACACACACACACACACACACCCACACACACACACACACACACACACACACACACACACACACACACACACACACACACACACACACACACACACACACACACACACACACACACACACACACACACACACAATTTATTTTTTACCACTAGTCAAAAAGTAAAATTCAATTCAATTAAGCAAACCAGAAAAAACAACATAAATCTTCAAATTTGACATTCAAATGTTGTAATTTCAGCAGATGAATGACTTTAGTCGTACATCAATTATCACAGATTTGTTTCTTTTTCCTGGCATTGCTGAAGGTGATGTGTGGAAAGATATTTTTCAATAATGTAAGTTACTCAAACTGCTGTCAGAATAAGATTAATGAGATTTAAATGAGCCAACTGGACGATCTATAATGTTATTTTAGGAGAAGGCAAGCAAGTAACAAAAACATCTTGAAATCCTCTATAAAGAATAAAGGCACAAACTCGGGTTCACCTTGAGGTTGCTGCTTGGCAGGATGGCCATCCCCTCCTTCCACTCCAGGACGTGGACGATGCTACAAGCCCCGCCCACCTGTGCTGTCAGGGTGGTCGTCTCATTGGCCCGGCCTCCTTTACCTGCGTCTCCAACGGATATGGCTGGAGTCACCTCCAGCTTCTGATGGCCGGCAGCAGGAGCTAAACAGAGAGTTGCATTCACACTTAATAATGTATCTGATCTCACGCAAGACAGCACAATTCATTTACCACGTTATATTTTCATTTTGTTGCATCATTTGGTTTGTTTCAAAACTGAGTTAGGTTGATATGTTAGCCTGTGTTACCAGAGACTAGGTTTTATTCAGCACTCTACACACTATCATTTAAGAATCCTCCATAGATTTAACATTTTACATGTACAGCAGCTTCCCTAAGACCTGGGGACGGATAATCAGCGGAGTCCCCTTTAAGTCCATGTTTCCATACTTTGATGCCATGACAATCTGCTAAATAGTCTTTGTGTTTACATTATGCAGAAAGACATGTCACCTCTGGATCAATAAAGGCTTCTCATATCTTGCATCTGACTCAGAGCATTTTAAAGATGGTACATCATTTTTTCAAATGTTTAAAACATGATTTAATATTGACACTGAGTTACAGTTCAGCTACCAATGCACCCTGAAGCTTATGCTCTCTTTTGAGTGTGATCATCAGTTTAAAGAGGTCAGAGGTCAGTGTTGATGTACTTGATAATACGGTAGAACTCTGAGTTAAAGGATAGTCTCTGTAAACCCATGTTACCACACTGCCCCCCCATGCTCACCTGGGAGGAGGAAAGCTGTGGTGGTGTGGGTTTGGGGACGAGCCTTCTTGGCCACACCATCACTCCCACACACGAGGACGGCCTCGCTGGAGGACAAGGAGGCGGAGGAGGACGGGTCCAAAGGTGTGCGGTCAGGTTCTTTGGGTGGAGCCTCCATGTTCACTTTGGCACTCATCATGGCGTCGCTGTCCCTTACTCCGGAGCGCTGCAGGGCAGAGGGGGTTTTCATCAATACAAAGACTGACAAGATAACATGTTTTCCATATCTGAATTAAAAGTGTTGTATGTCTAAGGTTGTCTCATGTAAAGTGGTCATTTTTGCTTATATAAAAAAGAAATAACTTATCTAGTTATAATAGAACCTATGTCCTTCCGCCTTCCAGAGGTGGAATTTAACATGTACTCCAATACTGTACTTAAGTACAATTTTGAGGTACTTTTTATTAAAGCCGTTTATTTTAATTTGACTTTGCACTTCTCATCTACTTCCTTTCAATGGAAAAATATTGTTTGTTTTAAATTCCACTTAAGTTATATGAGAGATTGATTTACTTTACATATTAAGATTTGAACACAGCAACAACAAGTTTGACCATAATAAGAAACTGTTTAGTTTCAACTTCTCAAAGTGCAGAAGAAAGTTTTTTGAATGTTTTATTTTAAATAACTTCATTTTGCACTGTTGTTTGGACAAAACACACAAATATCTAATGATATAATATATAAATAAAGTTATATTGGACCTTTTTTTGGCTTTGGCTACCTTTACTTTTGATACTAATTGCTTTAGTAAGATTTTAAATGTTAAATGTTAAATTATAGTCCACTTTGATATATTTCTCAACAGAGTAAATTACACGGCTATTTCTATAAACGTTTTTCTCTCCAATTTCTTCCTTTAAATATTTGTTTCCTTAAATGGCCCTGAGACAGATGGAATCAAATGTACAAAAGGTAAACAAAAAATACTTTTTATTAGAATTATTTATAACTTAAAATAAATAAGTAACTTTTAAGGGTGGCTTTTTGCAGATAATGGCTGAGCAAAGCCTTCCTCCAGGAATAGCCTGACCCGGTGTGACTTTAACAGCCATCCATTATACCACCACCAATTTAAAAAAAGCATTAATGGTGACTCACAAATGTTTACACAAAAGCTAATAAGTCCACACACACTCAAAACATGCACATTTCAGTTAAAATGGCGGAGGCAAAAGAAAAACCATGAGTAAAAAAAATGTATAAAAGCAGCAGTGTCTAAAATCCTGTGAAAATCCCATTTAGTGAAAAATGAACCTTGTCTCCCATTCCGGCTGCATCTCCAATGAATGAGCAACATTTACCCTCACAACAACGACAAGCATGCTACACATCGCATTTAATATCGGTTAGACTGCTTTTATCATTTAAAAGTATTTAACACGATAGGTTAATTAAACGCGCGGCACTATCACGTATATATATTTTAAGATGGGAAGCTTTGTGGTTGACGCCAAAACGCTTTACCTCAACAAAAAAACATATTTACACTTGTCCCTTTCAAACGTATGTGGTGTAAATACGCTGGTACCTGGCACTATTTGAGGAACACTGTAAATGCGATATAAATTGGTGTTTGCAGATCATTTCGGAACTGAAATTTGGCTTACCAGCTATGATCTCCTGCGGCTCCGGGGCTGCGACTGCGCATGCGTGGGCCCCCCAGTACAGTCACCGCTCGCTGGATATAATGTAACGCCAAAAGACTTCGATATGTGCAAATAATGTAGTGGACTATCGATTAGTCTGGAGAGCAGTCTCTTTTAATTAATTACATTTTTACTTCCTATTTAACATCTGCACTACATTGATTCTGTTTATTTCCCTAGAAAAGTCCACCCTTTAATGAAAGAGCATTCATTATATAATTAGCAGGATATAGGTCATGTCGATACTGCAGTCAAGGTTTCTGTAATACTGACACAAAGCACGGCAAGTTTTTCTCATAAAGAACTTTATTTGATCATACAATAAAAAGGGCATTTTCCCATAAAGTCTGTGAAAAAAAACGTGAATCTTATTCCACAAGATGAAGGGGATGCATTTAGTAAATCTGATGGTGTTAGTATAAACCCAAACAAATCCTCCCAAGACTTGAAGGATGTACCTCTTAACAAGAACTCCAGTTCAAGTTTTGCACTATTGTCGGTGACTTGAAAAAAAAAAAAAAAAAAAACCTTAACCCCCCACATTCTTGAAAAATACTTTTTTCAGGGCTGCAAATGAGCAAAGCGTATTAAACCGAACAGTGCATTTGAGGCCTTGAACTTTAGGCAAACTGAAAAAGGTAAAAGGTTCTTACAGTGTAACTGCTCAGGGTTACAAAAAACCCAAATATTGGTAGCAACGGAGAGGAAGAAATCCGGTTTTGATGCAGATTAAACAGTCTATGAAAAAGAGGTTAGAAAGGGATCGTAATAGGCCACCTACAATGCAAGTTGTTTAAACATGAAATACAAACCCCTTATGATTTCTTGTAATTTGCAGTTCAAGTTGCATCCCAGTTGTGCATTTTAGAGTGCCGCAAGACAACACAAAGATTAGCGATTCCTTGAGAAAGCAATTATTGAGAATGCAGCTCAGAAAAAAGTAACTGCATCAATGCTCTAGTCAAACGCTACTTTTTCTCCCACAACCATGCAGTTTGAATTAATATGAAACGAAACTATTGCAACAAACAATGCCTGCTGGATGCGCCAGACGCCAACAATGCTATTCAATTAACTGGTCTACCAAACGAAAAAGCTCCGTTGCAAACCAAGAGGCATGATCAATGTTTTAAACATTTTTGCCAAAAAAACTAAAAGGTTTTCTTTGAAACAAAAATATATTTTACCAACCAAGATTAAATGTTTGGGACTTGCACCATATTAGGTTGCTGATATAAATATATGAAGACTAACACTTCAGCTTTTGTTAAAGAAAAGGGGGGGGAGAAACAGTTTTTTGTGAGGCAAACAATTCATGACTGCAAAAGGAAAACAATTCATGACTGCAAAAGGAAAACGCCACCATTGTGGTGCATGCTCTAATAAAACATGTTAAGGACAAGTGCAAACTTGAAGGAGAAAAGTAGACAAGCCAGGAAGCATAAGCCATTATGACGACACTGCTCATTATGTACAACATAGGGATGAGGCTTGACAATAAGAGAATCATCTCCCTCTTCTTTTTCCACTAATCCTGAGAAGCCGATCTAGAACGGGAGCGAGACCTTGAGAGGGACGGAGAGCTCTTCTCCTTGGACTTGGATCTGCGGTCGTCCTCGTGTGGGGTTGGGGAGCGGGAGGCAGATTTGGCAACATGCTCATCTTTCCCGTTCTCCAGTGGGGAGGCGGAACGACAGCAGGACTTCTTGTCCACAGACATCTCCTTGGACGGGCTGCGAGAACCTCGCTCCGACTTTACCTTTGAACGACTCTTTGAGCGAGATTTGGATTTTCGCTCAGCAGAACCGGACCGGGATTTGCGGGAGTTAGAACGTGATTTGGATTTGCGAGAACGGGACCTGCGGTTGCGAGATCGGGATTTGCTTTCTCCCGACTTGGAGCGAGACTTCCTTCCAGACCTGGAGCGGGACTGGCCACGTCTCTTGTTGCTACGGGAACCAGACCTTAAAAAAACAATTTATTTTCAATTATTCCGGCACCCAAAACATACCTTAACGCATTGTACACCCAACTAATTTATGTAAATACAACTACTATCATACTATTGAGAATGCCGTGGATAAGACCCATTCTTACCTCGAGCGGGATCTGGAGCGACTCTTGGAGCTCCTGCTGTGGGAACGACGGCTGACTATGAGACCTGAGGGTGAGATTTCAAAATCAAATAAAAGAAGTACAGCCAATTTCTTCTGCAAAATGTTAGAGTTTTGTTTGAATATAAAAATGTTTAGCATCACAGAGCTTATTTAGTGTTCCCACCTGGAGCGGCTGCCAGGGTCAGACCTACGCTTGCGCTGCCGGTCTGCCACCAGGCGAATCTTGCGCCCATTAATGTCTGTACCGTCCAGCTTGTCAATGGCCCTTTTCATGTCCGAGTGGGACCGGAACTCGATTACACCCTCATTCGTGCGTTCCTTATGGGCATCTGCATACGTCACCTCTCCTGCCTGACGCATGAAGTCCTGTATGACACGAAAAACAAAGTAAGAATTGATCATCCTGAAATGTTCTTGGTCCAACCACTTGACAATTTACAGAACAGAGGAAAAACAATGATTTTAAAACATGCACCTTGAGGTCTTGCCAACTGCAGCGGCTGGACAAATTCTCCACAATGAGACGGTACTCAGTACGGACAGGGGGTCCATACTTATCCCTTCCAGTGTGGCTCCGGCTGCTGTAACCGCTACCTTTAAAAACAACAGCACATGAAAAAAGTTAGATCCAAGAAAAATGAGCAAGACACACAGAACTATTTGCCTGGGTTATCTAATGAACGCAAGGCAGTGACTTGCTATATAAAAGTCCAAGGGGGTATACATTTGATCTTAATAAGGAGAGTCCCTCTGATCCCATTTTCAAACACAAAGCTTCAGATAAGTGATCAACGGGTCACATCACGGGCTCTTTGTATTGTTCAGCATTTTGATGTGTTTCGCTGCTGCAAAGAACACCACTGCATCTGTTTCCAGCAATACAAAGCCTGTCTTACTCCGGTATATCACACTGTGACGCTATAGCTGCTTTAACAAATGAACAGGCTCGATATTCTTTCAAGGCCTCCAACCCCTGTAACACAAACAGAATGGAGGTATCCACATAGGCTGTGGTCAAGGACACTGTTCGATCAAATTGAGAAAGAGCGGTGTAGAGAAACACGTACACCAATCTTTAGGTATTTGATCGGATGTTGGTCTGAAATTTAGTTTTCCGGTTTTCTAACTTACAATATCTCTTTTGATTGTAAGTTCTTTACTTGAGCCGCTCCACTTATGTTTGCTGTCAACATAAAAACCAATGGCAATCCTCACCATCACCCCTGGTCTATTGGCAAAAGGCTGATGTCGTCATGGCTTCCGGTTAGGTCAGCCAAGGATCAAGGGGGGGCAAAGGTCACACACACATTGTAAGGTGAAAGCCAAGGCCAAACGGGACAGGCAGTCATCTTAGCCAGTCATCTTTAGCCTCAATGGACTCTCAGCCTC